AAATACCAATAAATTGATTTTTGATTATTTTACAGTCATATATTTGTATACATTTAACAGAATAAAATTTGTAATTGTTGAACAGAGTTCTTTTTTTTACTTTCTTTCTCAAATTATTTCTAACAACCAGTATTCATGATAATATTTATTTTTTTAATCGAGTTCACCCCGAGCAAGACAGTAAAGCCACTAAGACACAAGGGGTTATTGGGTGTGAAAAAATTAGAAAACAGAAAACTTACTAAGACGTGAGAACAAAAGATGAGTAATCAGGAGGGCAATAGATAATGATTGACATTGCATTTAAATTTTGGCAAATTAAAGTTGGCTGGAAAGCATGGAGCTGGAAGAGAGTTTTACAAGTGAAAATTGTAAGAAAAGAAGCTGTTAGCATAGAAGTTACAGTTACATCCAGCCAACTTAATGAACTGTATGAATTAGGGTAATTAATGCCCAAGTGAGATTGATGATACCTGTGGGGAAAATGAAATAAAATCAATCAATAAAATAGTAATAATAGAAAGGAAAAAGATTTTCCCATGATGTTAAGAGTAAAGGAACCTGAAATATGATTATCACACTTGGTTTTGTCAAATGCTGTTAGGTGGCACTGGTTAAATCTATTAAAAGACATTTCCATCTTGAGCTTCTTTCTCCACTTTGCTTCAAAGTTTAGAACCACATAGTAATTATTTTTCCTCTAACTTCTAAACCAAAAAAAACTTTATCGTTGGAAGGTTTAAACTAAGTACAAATAATTTCACAGTAGCTTGTGGAAATTGTTTTCTTGAATTTGCAGGAGTGGTGAAAGGAGTTATTTTTAGACCATTTAGAAAATAATAATAACACATGGTAGGTCTACAACTACATCTGTAAGTATTTTATCAGTATTTGTTGTTTATCAAACAAACTTCTGATGGGATTTTATTGGTTGAATTATATACCCAAATTTAATGAGAACAAAAATAATATAAATTCTAATGTTCACAGCATTAATTCAAAAGAGAGCTTGATACCAAGAGTAGAGCAATAATTATATAATAATTTATATAAATGGATAGCCATTTTTGGTTCTCCCCAGTTGAGATGCAGCCACATCGAAACAAGAATGCATCTTTGTAGTGAGCAAGTTGTTTTTGCCCGTATATAAAAGATTTAATTTCTATAGTTGTTCCAAATCTGCACAAAGCTGACAAGCTCAACCATTACTATAATGTTTATACTTACTTCTAGAACAAAACGAAAACAGACATATCAAAGAGACATGGAGAGCTTTGTCTCACCACAGCCACCATAAAAAAGAAGAAATGGTGCATAGTAAAAAACAAAGTTTTTGTATGCTTCTTTCTTTAAATATTTATATGTAAACATGCACACACCTAAAATACACACAAACATGCAACCTTTTAAATACCATACACCTACCATATTTTCTTGGGAATAATACGAGAAATTTTGAATGAAAATTAACAGCAAAAAAAGGGAGTTGGATTATGTACTAGTATTTTTTTTTCAGAAATTTTTACACCACTTTAAACCACATATTACAAATACACTTAGTTTTGCTCACAAGATAAGGTTTGTTTTATTAGGTCAACTGGAAGTTGCTGTCTCAAAAGACAGGAGTAAAATTATCAAAATCAGTCCTTTGCACATAGGCTCTGAGTGACACTTCCAGTAGCGTTTCAAAAGATTTTGAAATATAATTTAAATTATTAACTCCCCAACTGACAGAATTTTCCTTGCATTTTTGAGGGACTTTTTAGTGAGCCTGCTTAAGGGAATCTATAAATACAGACCATACACCAAAGAAGAACCAGCTGAAGAATGGATTCAGTGTTGTCAACTCAAACAGATTAATAATCAACCGAAAACAACTTTTCCCACTTTCCTGATGTTGATTCCACAACAAAGATAAGGTATGAACTTTCCACTTTTCAAGGGGTTTTATTATAAACACACCTCAATGTATGTATATCAAATTTTCTATTTCTTATGGACTTTATTAAACACACCTAAATGAGTGTATGTAAACTTTCCACTTTCAAAGGGTTTTTATTAAACACACCTAAATGTGTATATGTTAACTTTTCCTTTTCAAGGGTTTATTTAAAAACACTTAAAATGTGTAAATATAATTTACTCTTCTTTTCAAGGGTCTTATTATATTCACCAGACAATGTCTAAAACATCCAAATAAATTGTTATTTGTTGATAATATTCAGTTTCATTTTAAATTCACTTGTTTACATGCATTGCATTACCATTGCATTGTTACGTCTGTTTCTATCTACATTGGATCAAGATTTTTATTTTATTCCAGACAGCACAGTGAAGTAATAGATAGTGGCTCAGATTGAGGAATCAGAGAGCCAAGTTCGAATTCCACTTGAATCCATTACATTCACTTACGTGGTAATACCCTTGGGAAAGGGTATGAATCCTCTTCTTCTCCCCCCAGCTATGGGTAAATAGCAGGACAGACTAGGTTCTGTAGCCTTGGATGGCAACTGGTCTACTGCAGAAAGAAATGGCAACCTACTGTGGGAAAATATCTGCTTCGTCAGTCATGTATCGTGTATCACAGATGTCACATAAGTGACTGACTAAGAATAACTAGTAATCACTGCTACTACCTTAAATGAGTTAGCACCAACAACATATCACCTTCTGCATCCCATAAATCAATAATGACTCAGAAAATCAGCTCCCTCAACTGATTTTACTTTTTTGTAAAGTTGTCTCTTTATATTCGTCTGTTTTTTTTTGTTTTCATATTTATTATCGAAATTATTTATTATGAAAATATAATAAAGTTACATCAAAAAGAAAAATACAATAGAGTAATTAACACCTTATTTGGTACGTCTAGTTACCAACTTTCCACAAAAATAAGTTTCGAGACAGAAATTAGAAAAACATGTAATGATTAAAAAAAAAAAAACTTGTAGTTCCAACAAATGATTTATTCTATGGAAATATTTCGACTAGCAGTTGCCAGTTTTGATCACTCCTTAATTTGAGTAAAACAATGCAAAGAAACTAGAAATGCTTAAGAATTGAAACCAAAAAAAAATAAAAAAAATGGTTTAAGTTCCTTGATTTGAATTCCTAAGTGTTTCCAGTTTCTTTGCATTGTTTTATTCAAATTTAGAAGTGACCAAAACTGGTAACTGCTAGTCGAAATATTTCCATAAAATAAATCATTTGTTGGAATTACAAGTTTTTTCTTTTAATTATGCAACTCCCAACAGAGACAAGCATCTTAACTTTGAAAACATGTAATGGCTAAAAATTTACATAGGGATAGCTTTATTACAGGAACCTATTTTACTCAAGATTGTAATTTATTCTGTTTTTAGCTTGGGGGTCATATTATACGCAAGGATCTAATTTATTCTCTCCTTTTAACTTCAGAAACACGGGGTCGTATCATACTCAAGGATATAATTTATTCTCTCCTTTTAACTTCAGAAACACGGGGTTGTATTATACTCAAGAATGTAATTTATTCCTTGTTTTAGCTTGTGAAGTCAGTCTACTCTGATTTTAGGAGGAAACATAAAATCTTAGTGCTGTGTCCACAAATACAACACAAAATTATAAATAGCATGACGAATGATCTTCACAGAAAAGAAAGAAGGCCAAGCTAAATATGACAGTAACATTTATACAGCCAGATACATGTATTTACATAATAAAAACCAATGTTCTTTGTGGCCATGAAGAGACCAATAGTTTGATTTTTCGAAATGATTTATCACAAGTGAGTTGGCAAAGTTTCAAAGTGTTTTTGTTGCAAGTGAAGAAATCAAGTGGTCTGGTATGCCAATATATGTGTGTGTGTGTGTGTGTGTATGTGTGACAGCAGTAATTTTAAAACACAGTGAACAAAAAGAGTGGAGACAAGACTTACTTTAGTTGTGCCATTGTATGTAGAAAAATCATCACTGATGCGTTATCATGGTAACGTGTGTTCAAGCTGTTGGTCGAGGCATTGTCTGGCTTCATTTGCTGCCTTTCGCAGAATTTGTTGCAAAGAAAAGAGTACTGAAATGTTATGTAATATCCGGCCTACTATATGGCAGTGAATACTGGACAATCTCCTTGTAGATGAAGAAGAGACGAAGCAACAGAAATGTGGTCCTACAGAAAGATGCTGAGGATACCATGGACCAAACAGGTGGGCAACGACAAAGTTTTAGAGAAAAGAGGCACTTATATTTAGAAACAGGAAGAGATAGTTGAAATTTCTAGGACATATGAGGAAAGAGGGGTTTTAAAATTTGATACTCACAGGGAAATTGAAGGCAAGAGGTACAGAAGAAAGCAACGCATAAACTACCTAGCAAACTTGAGTAAAGAGATGGTGGAAAAAGGTTTAGGAAAGATAAAATTTATTAAGAGCTATAAAGAACAGGAAATTGTGGAGAGCTGCGATCACCTACACTCTGAAGGGACTCAATACATAGAAAATGACTGACAAGGAAGATGATTTCATTTAACAGGTCCAAGTGTAGTTCATTACTCTTTTTTATGTTTGATTCTGCAAGATTTTAACAAGCAACTGCTTATAGAGGACATTTTTCAGATATTTTTTACTCATTTTCAATAAATTCTACATTTGCAAAACAAACAGAAAACCTGATGACCTAGTTCTCATGAATTTTTGCTTCTTCCACAATGAATCATTGCAACAGTGACCCCAAAAATCACTACCTGTAAATTGTTTTTTTTCTTCTTAAAAATAAATCTTTACTTTCTGTACATTGTAATTGGCACATTTTTACAGATTGTGACAGCTATTAGGGAGATGTGATTAAATATACCTCAATGTTTAAAAAAAAATTATTCAGTATTATTATTGTTTAGGTAATAAGTATTATATCCTTTTCACCATCTGCACATCAAAGCTTACAGCACCTGGTAATTCCAAGCAGTCATCTATTCAGGTTCTGAGCAGGCTTGTCCTTACTTAACTTCGATGATCTCTGGTATTTCTACTTGATATGACCATAAGTCTGTGAAGACAGAAGAGAAAGAAGGGAGAGAGGGAGATCGATAGATAGATAGATAAGAAAGGGTCCAATAAATAGGTGACAAAGAAGAAAGTAAACAAATAAAGGGAAGAAAGAGTAAGAGGGCCCAAATGAAAGAGTGCAAGAGGTAGAGAGAAAAGGAAGAAAGAGAAAGAATGTGGGACAAAGAGGTTGAAAAAGAAGAAAGTGTGGAAGAAAATAGAGAGAGTGGCCTAAGAAAGAAGTTAAAAAGATTTACACATTGCGACAACTATTAGAGAGATGTGATTAAATATACTTTAACATTTTAAAAAATATCTAGTATTATTGTTTAGGTAATAAGCATTATAACATAGCATAAATAGCTAACTGTTTAGTATAGAACAGGCGGTTGCATCAGACGAGTTCAATAATCCCCATCAAGTTGGTCACATGACCTGATGCATTTCCCTTTTTTAAAAAAATCGTTTTGGTATTTTTGGGAGATATATGTGGTGGGTATTTCTGTCGCACCATGTATGAACTGATTGGCTGAAACAGCATCTTTTTATTAAGTACTAATTGTGCAAATTTGGAATCAAAAACTATATATATATATATATATGTGTGTGTGTGTGTGTGTGTTTTCTTTTTTACACTGATATACAAGACTCAAGAGCCACTTGAGGTAGAGTGTTATAGGAGACAGTTTATCGGGATATATGAAGAAAACGGTTAACCCTAGATTTGAACAGGTTAAGACTGTAGATATCTGAGAATCATCCTCTTGGATGTTGGTTTCACAAAACAAATGAATCATAGGAAGAAGCCGCTTGAGTGGAAATTACATCTCATCAATGGAATATGAAGAGAATGAGGCTGTTTGGCTACAATTTACAGATAATAAAGAAAAAAGGAAACTGCATTAAAGGAAAAAAAAAAAGGAAAAATATTGTTTGAATAATAATAATGATGAGGATAAAAAAGAAGGTATCATTATCTTTCATCTAACATTTTGCTGATATATATATATATATTTATTACTTGACTCTCCCATCAAATTCAATGTATGAGGACCAAGCAGCTCAGTTCCTAGGAAGTGACAGCCTAGACACGAGCACATATGATTTGATTATAGTGGTGAAGGTTTTGTGCAGAACCATCCACACTTTTTGAAGGGCCAAATACAGAAACCTGGTGCACTATGTGCCACAAGGTCCCCAAACGACCCTCCAGAATTTTTGAATTCAGAGTTGTCCTCCTCCTAGACCAGTTGCTATCCAAGGCTATAGAACCCAGTCTGTCTTGCTATTTACCCACAGCTGGAGGGAGAAGATGATTCATACCGTTCCCAAGGGTATTAACATGTAAGTGAATGTAATGGATTTGATTGTATTTAGGCAGCAATCCTTCTTTCATGCATGTTTCATTGAATATAACAGACAAGGTGCTTTGATTTAGTTTTTTATATAATTTCTCGGGTAATCATATTAGTATTTTTCTTTTCAGTAGATAAATTATATAAAAAACTGTCCAATTGTTCTTTTTTTCCGAGTGCTTTTGGCTATACATTTAGCCATTTTCAAGGTTGAAATATATTAACTGTTAACAAGAAATAGATTGTAGTATGCATGTATTTATATAAAGTTTTCATTTTCAAAACATATTCGTAACATACTTGTTGATGGCATGAATATAATAGCATTATCTATATGTAAAAAAGGCTAAAAGTAATGGAAGCCTTATTAATAAAAACAAAAAAACCAACACTCAATAATATCAACTATGAACATGGACACAATATTTTGAACATGTTTTGAAAATGAAAAAATTATATAAATACATACATTGTTGTGGCTGTATTAGGGTCAGATATAAAGGCACAAGAGAGGAATTGAATTAAAGAAATATATTAACAGAAACAGTAATACAAACAGATGCAAATGAGATTGTTACAGCAAGAATATTTGGTCTGACTGTCAGAGCTGACTGCTGGAAACTTCACAAACCAAAAGGCAGTACCTGTTCCTATTTATAGCTGGGAGAGTCCATGCAGGCATGGCTAAATTACCATAACATCTACATACCATAATCTATTTCTTGTTAACAGTTAATATATTTCAAACTTGAAAATGGCTAAATGTATAGCCGAAAGCGCTCAGAAAAAAAAAACAAAAAAAACATTCAGACAGTTTTTACTTACTGGGAAGGGAATAAGTGGGAAAGGGAGATACAAAAAGGAGGGGAGGAAGAGGGAAAGGGAGAGACAAAAGGGAGAGGAAGAAGAGAGAAAAAGAGAGGCAAAGGGGGAGGGAAGAAGAGAGAAAAAGAGACACAGAAGGGATAGGAAGAACAGAAGAGGAGAGACAAAAGAGAGGGGAAGAAGAGAAAAAAAGTTAGAGGAGAAAAAAGAAAAAGTAGAGACAAAAAGAGGGGAAGAGTAAAAAGAAAAGACAAAAAAAAAAAATTCCAATGACAGAAAAAAAAAAAAAAAAGCCTAAAAAATTAACATATTTATTTTTATTGAAGCAAATAATAATCCTACAAAAAAAAACAAAACACATCTGTTTTTGTTAAAATTACTCTTGTCAGTGTTGGATGTCATCTGTCCATTTGTTATCTCCAATTCGATGATAATGACTGTAGTCAATGCCAGGTACGAAAGGAGGATCTGGCAAATCTGGTTCTTCTAAACACAACTGTCCTTCTTGTACAGCAGCCAAGAAAGAAAGCAACTGAAGAAGGAAAACAACAGAGTAAAATTAATTCATATTTGTTCATTGGTAAGGAATACAAGTCTCAAAAATGAATAACCAACAACAGCTAACCCAATACTACATCACTCTTTGTCTCCCCCTGAACCTAGAGTCTATAAAGTGGCAGTGTCATTGCATGTGTATATCTATCCAGACATGTTCCAAGCTACATTATGTTTAATGAGGTTTGAAGCATGTCTTAAATATGCTCAATGGCAATCTGGTGAATGCCGTATGTCAGTGGATTACCTGAAAGTGTGGAACCAATTTTGTGTATATATTATTGGAGTTCACTCAAGAGGTATTGATTGGATATAATGTCCAATCTATTTTATTGATATTTACGGCTGAATTAAGTGTATTGCCAAGAGAGGAAGAGATTATGCTGAAAAATAAAGTGTGGATTTCACTTAAGCAGTACAGATTGGGACTATGATTAAATGGTTGTTCCTTTTAAATGGAGTTGCATAAAAATAGACAAAACATTACATTTGATTCTGTTATTGTAAAGTTGGTTGCTAAATGACTTATGATTTTCTATTTAACTAGAATCTGTTGGATTTGTTGCGTAAAATAAATGCTTTTCCATCATTATGGCCATTTTTTGAGTTACAGGTGAACACATTTTTTTAAATGGATTTTTAATCTGACATTATTTCTTATTGCAATAAAAAATAACCATTTATTATAAAATATAAATATATATATATATATATATATATATATATATATATATATATATATATATATAAATGAAATGACAATTATTTAATATATTTTCTGTTTATACATTATTTTTAATAGATACAGTCTATTTAAGTAAATGTTCCTTTTTTTTTTTAATAAAACAGTATTAATTACATTTGCCGGCCTGAATGTTTGAGAAATTTTGTAGAAGATTTGTTTATATAAAAAGTAATTTGAACTTTGCTAAGCAGATGCTTTCTCTTTAGCTGAGTGGTATAGCACATCAGATTAATTGACAGTTCCATATAGGGGACAGGTTCAATTCCTGTCGAATAGGTATACTTTCAACGAAATTTCTTGAACATTGTTTTTTTTTTTAAATAGAGCATTACTAACTCAAATAAATTGTATCTATTAAAAATAATATATAAACAGAAAATATATTTATTTATTTAAAAGAACCAACAAGGTTTGTTTTTTTTATTGTATTTTTCTTATATTTGAATAAGGTGTTGTGTATTTTGATAAAAATTTTGGATAAACTGCCCAAGATTCATGTTCTTGGTGTTGTTCAAGTACTTTTGATAATCTCAGTCATTTTCAATATACAACACCATTATTCTAATATTGGTAAAATACAATAAAAAAAGTGAAACCTCAGGCCTTGTTGCTCCCTTTTAATCAAACTAGTTTAATCTGACATTATTTTCTATATCTGACTATAGTTGTATATATATATATATATATATATATATATATATATATATATATATATATATATATATATATATATATAAAAAAGGCTTAAACACTAATATTCCATGGTCATAATTTATTCCATTGGAATTGTAAAAGGGGAGCTCAACTTATAAAGGTAAGGAGCAATATATTGATAATATTAGTGGAAAATATACATACGTATGCAAAATATATATTTTGCATACGTATGTATATTTTCCACTAATATTATATATATATACACACACACACACACGCACACAGGATTTGAGTCAGGTGGTAAGAATTGGAACCATGAATAATTGGTGATTCTGTTCTTGTATAGCTGGACCTACAAAGCAGTTTTCCCCACCCTTTGAACTGATTTTCTGTTTGACCAGAATCCAGGTGAAAAAAAAAAAAAAAAAAGGAATAAATACATGGATGGTAACTTGCCAGAACAAAGTGGTTGGTAGCCAATCGTGGATAAATGGATTTTATTTACACTATTTACTTTGTTCAGACTGTTGTCCTCATTTTTATTGTCATATTCATGACATTTCGGCTGTTGTATGCAACCTCTTCAGGTGATATACATTGGAATTATAAAGGTTTGGTTTGAAATTCCATCATAATTCTAACTCAATGTAAATAGTTATAAAACCTCATTTCAAAAATATTGACATGTTAAAATGGATTCCGTATTTAAAGCTTCAGTTTTCTTTTTTCATAATGGATAAAAAGCGTCAGTTATAACATCTTTATTCTATTGCTTCTTGACCACTGACAATCCCTTTTTTCTGATTTTTATTTCAATAGTGATTTTAGTGTGGAAACCAAATTAAAGAAATTTTAGGTTAAAAAAAAAAGGACAAAATTCACAGATTTAATAGCATGTGTTTTTTTTTTTTTTTTTTGTTTTTTTTTTACTTTGGTAAAGAACAAATGCTGAGTCAAATTACGCTTGGTGAGAAAAAGAAACAAAGATTTGCAATCTTACCTTTTCTGACTTGTTAGTGTCATATGTGTCATCATAGAAGACGTGAGTCAGACCAGCATTAAGACAACGTTGAGCTAAGACATAACCAAGATTCTTGGCTGCTGTCACATCAGTACAACTGAAATACAAAACCAATTTGTTCAACTTACCAAAATGTGTCAGTAACAGCAGAGAAATAGCTTTAGCTTGCTAAAAACTTAAATTTTGTTTTCAATCACTACAAGAATAGAAAAAAAAATCTCATTTTATTGTCTAAGCCAGTGTTTCTCAACCTGTACACCTAGGTGCACTAATGCACCCTGAAAGGTACCCAGATGGACTCCAAGTTAACAGAAGAGTAATTCATGAATTATTTTTATATTTAAAAAATATTTATTTTCCAAATGCTAAAGACATCAAGCATGTCTTAAAAATAAATGATTACTTCAGGAGACTTCTTTATTTTCATATTTTAAAATTTCCTGAGTAATTTTTTCTTATTAAAATTTAAAGTGCATTTAGTTATTCTACAAGTGCAACTTGAAGTAAAAATGCTTGAGAAACAGTCGTCCGAACTGTTCTTTTGGATGAAAATCTAACAATTTTAGATTATTTTTGTACATTAACAGCAGAATTCCAGCAAAGAATGTAAGCATTAGAAATGAGATGTTACAGAACCATTTTGGGCATTTTCTAGGTAAACTGGATTCAAAATAATGCAGTGTGAGACGCCATCAAACAAGAAACAGGCTTTGTTGGACGACTCGATAACCACTGTCAAGACGAGAAAGATTGAATGATATGAGATCACATGACCCAATGATCTCTATGTTTGTCATCTTACAAGGTATCACCTTAGGCAAGAGAAGAATAGGTAGAGGAAAAATTGGGCTGATAATATCAACGAGTGGACTGGTAGATCATTCACAAAGATTCAGACATTGGCATGCAACTGAGATATATAGGGGGAAGCTGGTTAGGTGTTCAGCGGTCATGGAACTGATGGTAATGATGATGTTCTCTTTTTGTTTTTTCAACAAATTAAAGAGGATTCTATGAAATTACTGTTTACTGTCTTTGCTCAAGAGCAGCGGCCCCCAACATTTTGGCACCATGGACTGGTGTCATGCAAGACAATTTTCTGGAGGCGAGGGTATGTAAAAAAAACACAAGAAACCAGTCTGTGACAGTCAATAAAATGGAAAATGTTTTATTTTTATTTTTCTGAGCAGCTTGGTACTAAATGATCCACAGCCTGGTGGGTGAAGACCACTGCTCCAGAGTACTTTTCAAAAGGCTTATGCCCATATCATGTTGAAACACCTGTTCTCATATGATTACTAAAGTTAAGCAACATCAAGCCTGGTCAGTAGGTAGATGGGTGACCACTTGGAAATACCAGGTGCTGTAAGCTTGGATGTTAGGGTGGTATGATGGATAACAGAAGTTCCAATTCTATTCGGGTCTGTTATAATCACTTAAGAGCAAATACCTTTGGAAAAAGGTATGGATCCACTTCTCTCCCCAGCTATAGGTTAATGACTTGTATCAGTAAATCATTATCTCCCCCAAAATTTTTACAATCTAAAAAAATATTTTCTGGCTTTAAATAACTTGCAAAACGTTGATAAGCCATAAAAAACAAATTCTGCAGTTGTCATGACAGGGCATGCTTCTCTTGTATAGGTTGGCTGTTATTGATCAGATACTTAGTCCCAGGAGAGCAATTTCAGGCTTCCTGGGTCATTACCGTTTGATGGCACTAGATGTTGCTTCAGGTGCTTTTGGAGTACTTTCAAACACTGGTAAAATGTTATTACTTGCCTTTTCGCCATTTTTATTATAACTTGCTAACATTTAACCCCAGTCATAACTCCAATGAATACAGGATTGATTGTATTTTTATGGTTTATCAACCTTTTGCAGGTTATTTAAAGCCAGAAAATATTTTTAGTTTTAATAATAAATTTTTTATTCATTTTTTTTTTTTTTTTTTTTGGCAAGTGACTATTGTATTAACAATTTTTTTGGAGATAAACATTTTCAAATACAAGTTCGACTATTTGACTCAATGCTTTTCTCTTGAAATAGTTATCATGTCTCGGGGAAGCCCTGCATAAAAATGATTATATATCATTATTAATATCTATCTCTTTTATATTTTTATTGTAGTTCCCATGGTAAACATGATATAGGGACACCGTTTAGGTTTCCTGTACTCAAGTGAGTCACTCAATGATACATAAATCCACCATGTACAGGTCCTGTCCACTCACCAGTAAAGGCAGTTTCACACCGATTCCATAGACATTGCTAAATACATTATCATAATTTTAAATAATGCAACAGGCCAAAGCCATTATTATAATAACCAAGGATTTTTAAACAATATGGATATAGTAAACTTATGAATATAAAAGTAAGCAAAAATTACTTAATAATGCATTAGTCTATTTATCACTGTTCCTAGCTGAACCCTAGGAATTGCTTGCAGGACCTTAGGCATGCAGGGAACACTAGTTGAAAAAAAAAAAAAAAAAACACTGAATTAACTCATTTCTTGGAGTGGAGGGGAGAAGAGGTGGATTCATATCTTTCCTAAGGGGAGGTATATTCATACCATTGTGCATAAGTGACTGTAATGAACCTGACTGGAAATTGAACTCAGTTCCCCAATTTTTCATTCTGAGTTGTTAGACATCATCCACACATCCAAACTACTGAACCTAGTATTCTGAAGTGATTACCCATCTAGGTGCTGACTAGGTGTAATGTTGCTTAACTTTGGTGATCGGACAAGAACTGGAGTTTCAATGTGATATGGCAATAAGCCCAATAAATCCAGGAAGTGCTTCTTATGGTCCGAAGCACAAACAGCATACATTGTCCATAACTGGTTTGGATTTTCATTTTTCTTTTATTTATCAATATTAGAGTTGGTCGGTTTGGCAATTTATGTTTCAGTTTCTGTTTTTTTCCTTGATACCAGTTTTCAATTGAATCTACTGTCTGACACTGACTATTGGCTAAAAAAGAATAATTTTTACTTTGGGTTTTAAAAAAATGACTTGCAGCTTTGAAAATATACACATTTTAAAACTGAGATTAAAACTTACTTTATTTTGTTAATATCTAATTTTAAGTGTATTCACTAGATAGAAATATATTCTTATTTGTAGAAAACAAACAATTTTACTACACTAGAGACTTGCATATCTGGAAATATACACATTTTAAAAGTGAAATTAAGAACTATTTTAATTATTCTTAATATCTAATTTAGGCGTATTCCCTAGATAAAAAACAAAATTATTTATAAAAATAAAAAACAAAATCTTCATTCATTTTCTTGTTTACAACAACTTTATTTTGTGATTGGCATACACACTGGCTTACTAGAAAAAACAATTACAAAAAAAATCTGACTTCATAAAATTTAACATTAAGACAACTATTTTTTTTATTTTTACTTGCTATTTTGTCGTTAACATAATTTTACCGCAAAAAGTTTTTTGGAAAACTGAAATAAATAGATTTCAGATATCATGTCATATTTCCTTTTCATTTCTTTTGTAAACAAATAGATTTCACATTTATTTCCTAAAACTAGTCAATTAAATATTTTCAACATATTTTTGTTCAATCTTTTTCTCTTACAATAACGGTATAAATGTTGATAGAATTTAATTTTATTAACATCTGAAAGTCTTTTTCAATAGTGTTTCTTTGGATATGGTCACTCAATAGTGATAGCACTTAAAAAAAACAAATGATTTCGGTTTCGTAAAAGATTTTGATGCGGTTTCACAGTGTGAAGATGAAACCAGAAATGTCTGTTTTTCGGTTAAATTGGCCATCTCTAATCAATATGTACCGATTTACAGGGTAGGATGAAGTGGCTAGCTATAGGGTTCAGTTTATTCTCACATAACAATTGTCGTGCCTCTTACATTTTCCCACACAAACTGGATGTTGACCACTTGATAAGCCAAAGCAGACTGTAAATATGTTTTCTGTATACAGGCCCCATTCATACATCTGCTTTAACCAAAATAAAACGGACAATTTATTGACCAGTCAGAGTCACTCCTATTGCAAAAAAATCTTAATTCGGATCTGAATGGCAGCTATATATTCTCTAATTCAAACAAACCTGACATAGACCGACTTCGATGTCAACACCGACACGCTGAGAAAGAAACACCACTGACGACGACAGCCATCGGCAATGTCCATTTCACTTCTAATTTCACCATTCTTGCTCCCTGTTACCTTAGAAACAACAGATAAAAATTACTAGTTTTGTATGTATGCTATTTATTTATCTGTATTTGAACCATTTTTTTTTTTTTACTTGAATTTACATTTGCTGAGGCGGAGAAGGAACTAACCTCCACAACAATAACAAGGTTCTGTCTTCCAGGTTACCCATTTCCACCTTAGCAACACCATCAGAAATCCAGCATAATCACTTACTCAGCAACCTACCGCTTCCAATAATGCCAAATCAGTGATGGTCAACCTACATTGGCTTCTTCAGCTTATCAGGCACCACACTCTAGACATGGTACAATTGGCACATCTTAAAAATTTGCATTCTAAGAAGAAAGCTAACAAAGCTAACAATAAACATTCATCCTAAGACCAAAGCTAACAATATTCATTCTAAGACCAAAGCTAACAATAAACATTCATCCTAAGAACAAAGCTAACAATAAACATTCAGTCTAAGAACAAAGCTAACAAAGCTAACAATAAACATTCATGTTTTCATAACAGCACTTCAGCCAAAATATTTTTACGTTAAAATTAAGAAACATATTTGAAATTGAAAAATCACAAATTACTGTTTACATTATTTAAACATAGAATATTGTTCCCATCTTTATTTTTTTTTTATCCCAATGTTTTGGCCACTTTGCCCGTTGGGCTTCATCAGGTGATTGTTGATCAGGGTAACCTTAAAGGAATTTTGAACTGAACTCTTTATTTAATCTTTGAAGTAGAGATTGCGCTGACCATGTAAATAATGATAATTCTTCATCACAGAAATTCAAACAGAAATTACTGCTTTTAGCAATTTATTCATCTTTTGAACATCTTTACATCAGTAGAGATTAATATTGGATTTAATACTACTTTCTGTGTCGTAAAAGTCATAGGGCTCTTGTGAAAATAAATTAATACAAACATATTCATTTGCATTCATTTCGAGTTATGAAATAGTAAAAATTGATGTAAACATGATGGTTATAAAACTTAACAGCAAAAATGTAATTTCTTAATTCAGGTAGCTGATATCACAAGACTGATTCAAAAGGTAATTAATGCAGAGATTAAGAATTAAATTTTCTAATAAGTTTGGAAACATCTTCAAATTTTCAGCTTCAATTAACAATTTAATAAATTAATTAGATAAAATAAAATTAAGAAACATATACAGCTGAAAAACTTGAATGACTTAAGAGAAACAAAAAAAAAACTTTTAGAAATGAACCACCAAATTTTGATATACTGTGGAACCTTGGATCATGAATGCTTTTCATCACAAACAAATTGGTTAACAAACAAATTTTCTAAACAAAAAAAATATCTTCGGTGATGAATAGTGTTTCGAGCAACAAACACACAAGCAGGGTTCAAGTTCTAGTCTAGTCTGTTGAATTCACTTTCACACTAATGCCCTTGGAAAAGGCATGAATCCATTTTTTCTTTTCCATAGCTATGGGTTAAATGGCTGGGTTGCCAGTCTAGGCAGATAACTGTGAATTTAAAACCATGGAGAAAGCAACGAGAAATCACTACTATTTTTTCCCAACAAGCCATAGCAATTTACAGATAAAGAAAAGGAAGCTGTAGAGAGTCGTGATCGTTTACGTACTGAATAGACATCACTCAAAAGAAGAACAATAGAAAGAGAATAACTATTTCAAGTAAAGGGGAGATAACTGTAAGTGGATGAACGATGAAAGAAAAGAGTAATCTCCCCTGACAAGTCATTAATTTAAAAAAAAAAAAAAAAAAGGAAAAATTATGCCTGAGTGCATATAAAGATATTTCCTTACCTGAGTCTGGCACAGGGCCATAATATCGAAGGATCAAATGAAGCTCATACTCACTACAATTTCGAATATTACTCTGATGTAGGCGCCCAGATATATCATGATAAAAACAAACTGAATTAACAAAAAAGATTCAAGACAGTCACTACAGGTTGAGAATCATCCAAAATTCTTGGGATCGGAAGTCCTTCGGTTTTCAGATTTTGGAATGCAGGCTATTTAATTTGTATATCCCATCTATAAAATGGGGCAGCTTGAGAATGAAGCCCAAGCCTAAGCATGACACATTTACATTATTTGGACTATTGTCCTCATCTTTGTCACCATATTTATTACAATGTTTCAGCCAT